CCACACGTTTGACGATCCTCGCTAATCTAGGTTTAACCACTGGCCTGACATTGAGGGTAAAATGTCCGGACACTTTAAGTTACATGAAATTAAATGACGCATATAAAGGTTTCGTCATTTGTAAGTGAAAGTTTTAACAATAATAAGAGTAAGGCGCAACCTCGATTTACGATGACAAGTCGATAGATGTAATCGGATACGCCTTACAATTGTAAGTCAATCCGATTCGTCACTGTAACCACGTTCACCAAACACTAGGGGGTAAGACGTGTCTAAGTCATTGTTCACACCACCCATACTAGCATGTAACACGCAATATAGAACAAATTTCCTTTCCTCCCTTTAGGTTTTAGGCACTTGAACTTCTCTCGTGACCACGCTCCTTAGTGATTTCCTTCAAGGTCACAGCAATCACACGGTTCGCATTTGGCTACAATCGAAACGTCGTAGGTACTTTTACACCTAAAAGAGAAAATATGTCGAGTGACCCATTCTGAAAGTTGGGATATTATTATCAGTATACCAAACATAATTATTGGATTTAGGGAGTTTCATGCGATGATTAAATTAAACCATTTTATTGCTGATTTAGCCTAGCTAGTGATTTAGCATAGCTAGCAATACAATTTAGCATAGGTTCCAACGTTTATAGCAGTGATTCTCAAATGGGGGTACGTTGGGGTACTGCAGGGGGTACGTGAGATTTATGAAGAAAAAAAAAATAAGGTTAATTAAAAAAATACAATGAATGATTAAAAAAATAATCTTAGTACAATAAGTTAAATAGAAAACACCATTTTATATAAAACATTCCTAGAACCACCAAGGGGGTCCTCATATAAACATGTCAAATGTGTGTATTGTATTTTATAGTTTTTCACAATAACATATTACTTAAATTGAAAAACTCCTTGGAAAAATCTGTTTTATAAAAGTGGTATGTTGTTTTTTTTCATGCATGAAGATGAACATATCCTTAGTTTGTTGTAATGCATACCACGAAGGAGTTAATACATCACACACTGAGGGAACATCACTATTTTGTAATTATGTATATAGGCTTTTTCGATCAAAAACGGTCGGGGTCAGTCAGGGGGTACTTGGTTGAGAAAATGTTTCAAAGGGGGTACATTACTGAAAAAAGTTTGAGAAGCACTGGTNACCTTTATTGACACGAGTACACTTTTTATAAGAATATAGTCCAAACCACAGAAATGACTCCGGAAAAGCTGCAGATAGAGCCATAAGAAATGAATGCAACTGATTTCATCCGCGTGGTTTGGCTTTATGAAGCAGGCAAGCAAACGATGACGCAATGACGCATTACCAGTCGGACTCTGGGCAGTGTGAAAAGAGCCAGAGCTAAACCGGAGAACCGGTTCTGAACCTGAAAAGTTCTAGCACGGGGCTTGAACCGGAGTTGCGTTGGTGTGAATGAGGTATAAGAGTAAAGGAAAATTTTCACTGGCATATATCCACATGCTGTTATCTATGGTGTCGTCATGCAGATGTACAGACAGTGGTCTTCAGAGCTCACATTAACTGATGGCTGCTGTTGGTAACCACTCTAAGATGGCATCACCTGAAAGATTAAATGAAACTGTAAAACTAATGTTCTTAATTTAAATGTGTCTTTCCACACTGTCAACTGTATCAGTTCAGATGATCTCACATGTTCTGTTAAACATCCCCGTCTCACCTGCTTTCANACTCATTTCTTCTCCGGCTGCGGATAGAGACCAATGTAATGTTTCCAGTTTGGAGGACAGCACGTATTGGCTTTTTTTGATAAAAATGTAGTTCGTTGTCAACCTTACCACGGTACTTAGGAGAGGTCATTTGTGTCTGAATAACGTTTTGTTCATGAGTTATTGATCCGTGAAATCTGAATCTGCCAATATCGTTCCAACTTTACTCAACTGCTGCTGCGCCAGTCAACAGAGCGTGCGTGTGATATATTTAGTAGCAGGATGTGCACTGAATAATAGGGCTCCCCCGAAAGCAAATGGGTAATTCGAACACTGGCCACAGAGCTCCCTCTATACAAATCAAACTGTAGAAGGTGTGAAAGCACCTATTGCTTTAAATAAAGGTCGGAATGTGACCTGTGAGCCTTCTGAATTACCGTGGGACAGCACATTCCAACTAAAATGTTCAATCAATAAAGTAACATCTTATCTTATCTTAATAATATCTTTATAATAATAATAAATCATACAGTATGTGTCCGAAAGGGAGCAGGAGGAAGCAAACACAAAAATATACTGCATATTAAAGCAAACGATTGTAAAGGTTAAAGTATGAGCATAACAAATAAAGAAGTGTAATGTAAACATTTACATTATAATGATGATTATTTAATATATAAAGACTATATATTATTGAATTACAAGATTAGATATACTTTAGTTG